AGACACAAAAAGGAAACGATAATGGCTGAAGTAAGAAATTTAAATATTAGATTTGTTAATATATCCGGGTTACGCGATAGATGTAAACAGATATTTTTAGTAAATATGGTACTTACCAGTAGAATCGATATCCTCGGGATCCAGGATACGAATATTAGGGACATGCATGATGTAAGACAATTAAGAAATATTTTTATAAATTATAATATATACGCGTCATTCGCTATTAGGAAGAGAACGGGAGTAATCTTGTTGATAAGTAAAAATATAAAAGTACATGACTTCAGAACAGATAGTGAGGGGAGAGTGATAGCAGTAGATATTCATGTTGGAAATCGGGCCTTTAGAGTGATAAGTATCTATGCACCGACTGGAGCATATGAACGTAAAGACTTTTTTAAAAATTTGACTGAGTTTTTAAGGGGTGGTAGGGAATTAATATTTTTCGGTGATTTTAATTGTGTTTTAGACTGTATTGACAAAAATGGACCGATTGCTTCAGATAGTTCGCGAAATATTCTACGGCGTGTTTTAGAAGATTATGATCTTTATGATATTTTTAGAGTTTGCTTTCCACATCATCATGGATATACTTGGGAGGGTCAAGGAATAAGGGAGCGCTTGGATAGAGTGTATGCATCAAAGGGAGTAGGAAAAATAAATAGGATTTTAAGTTATGAGTTAGAAACAGAATTAAAAAGACTAACAGATCATAGAATGGTTGAGGTAGAGATTGAAATAAACTAGATATAAAAACAGGATTAAGAAAAGACAAAGTTTAGAAATTAATAGGTTAGTAGAACATGGACAAGAAATTACTAGTAATAACGAAATATTAAGAAGCTTTTATAGTTTTTATAATGAGCTGTTTGCTGAACCATATTATTATGAAGAATTGGAAGAGGAAATATTTGGTTGTATATATCCAATTAAAGAGAAAAATGATAACATAATAAATAAGGAGATTACAAAGGAAGAGATTAAGGAAGCTATACAGGCGCTCCATGTTCATAAATCACCGAATAGGGATTTATTAAATTCTGAATTTTTTTAAGTTTTTTGGGGAGAATCTTAATGACTTATTATATACACTTTACAATTTTAAAGTTTTTAGTCACACTTTTTGTAATGGGAAAATGATATTAATTAGAAAAAATGATGATGTGAACTGCAGTACAAATGATTTTAGGCCAGTAACTTTGTTGAACGTAGAATATAAGATTTATAGTCTGATAATAGCTAAGAGACTCGAGTTGGTGTTTAGAGAAGTTATTGGTGAAACACAAACGGCTGGTGTACAGGGGAGAACAATTCAATGTAATACTATGTTTCTGCGTCTTGTACAAGAGATTTATAAGCAGAGAGGGACCATGCTCTCCCTCCTCTCCATCGACGTTAAAAAAGCATTTGATACCGTAAATAGACAAGCTCTCTGGCATACATTGGATAGATTTGGGTTAAATGAGGAGGAAATTTGGTATATAAAGAGGCTATACCAGACCCCGAGCACGTATATAAATATAAATAATATATATAATATAAATTCAGATAAGATTGAATGTAAAGCTGGAGTGAGACAGGGGTGTCCCTCGTCAATGGTACTATTCGCTATTTATATTGAGGTAATGTTAAGAAATATACAAAATGATAATTTAATTGAAGCGATTTACATTCCTGGGATGGAAAAGAGAGTAATTTATGTATCACATGCTGATGATGTGACGTTTTTTGTTGTAAATCGTTTTAGTTTAGATAGAATAATAATGAAATTAAATAGATTTAGTGCATTGACTGGTATGCAGATAAACAAAAATAAATGTAAGATTATGGATGTTGTAGGGAATCTGAGTTTGAATGTAAGTGGTATTGAGAAGGTTCATACTATGGAAGTGTTGGGGATCTGGTAAGGAAAAGATGAGAAAATAAAAAATAGAGACGAGATGAAGTTGGCTATTAATGATGAAATTAGGATATGGTCTAAAAATTGGTTATATATGCCCGAGAGAGTTTTAATAATAAAAAAAAGTAATAATGGCAAAACTTATTTATAAATTATATGTAACTAATTTAACTAAGGAGGATATCAAATGCTTGGAGAGACCTATTTATACGTATCTTTGGAATAAATCCTTTGAACCCCTCAGTCGAAAGATGATAAAAAATGACGTCGATGTGGGAGGATGGGGAGTGTGGGACCTGAAAGATTTTGAATTAGCTTTACAATTAACAATGATTATAAATACATTAAGTAAAAAGAATCATCTGTTGTACTATATTGTAAGGTACATTATAGGCCCAATTTCTAGGAAATTCACTCGACTGGAAACTAGTTTTCCGATTTTGAAGAGTAATACGAGAAAATATAGGAAATGGAGAGAATTATTGAGTTTGATTATTAATGAAAATAGTCATTTGATTGATTTGAGTAGGACAATAAAACCAATTCAAATATACAAAATACTACATAAACAATATGTTAATAGCAATATGATAAATACTAATATAAACTGGCCAGCTATATGGAAAAATGTTTTTAGTTTTCCGGTCGGGTGGATTGAGGTTTCGTGGCGAATAATACATAATATAGTCATGTGCAAGGAATACTTAAGGATTCATCGTATAAGTAGAGATGCAAGATGTTTACGATGTGGTGGGAACGAGTCTATTGTTCATGTATTTTATGAATGTAGTGTAGCACGGTCTGTATGGTCCTGGATCTCGGGGATATGGAGAACCCCGATAAGTTGGAATAATGTAAAATACCAAATGAATTTTGTGGTGAGAAATCAAAATGTATATCTGATCAATTGTTGTGTAGCCTTGGCGAAAAGAATATTATGGAAAAATAGATGTGAAATGACATTTGAGCGAAAATATTGTAGTGATTTTTTAGTGGTTACTAAGATAAAACAGGAATTAAAATACAAAATAAGAAGTGATTATGAAACAATGACTGTAAATGAATTCAATAAATATTATCGGGGAACTGATGTAGTATATAAGATAGAAAATAATGTAATTCTTTTGAATGATGAGTGGTGACAGTTTTATTTTCAGTAAATGTTTACCTAATCTGTTAGTAAAAATTTTGTAATTAACCACTTGTATTTTTTGAAAATGTAAATGATATTTATTTTTGTGATATCTTATAAGTTTGTTTTTTGAATTTAGATGTTTAATTATATTTTATTGTTATCTGCCTTTTGGACAGAGTTTTTTACCTGTATTAAACAGGAATGTTCATAATGTTATGATTCTGTGGATTATTGTAAATTAGCTATTTTTGTTGGGAGTTAAAGCTTGTCTTTACAGGCTATTGATTGTCGGGATTGCTTAATGTTGATAATACTAATAACCCTTCTAAGATATTGTGCTTTTTAATGCGTGATGGTTCAAGAAAATGTTCAATTGTAAAAGGAAAAGGTTGTTAGTTTACCAAACTTTCAAAACACTGTACCTGTTTTCGTTTTTGCTTAAGGCTTATAAATTATTTGTTTTATTTTACAGTTTTTAGCTGATCTGTTGCTGATTTGTGCCTGGATTTTGTCGACTATTTGACTGGATTATTAGTGTTTGGATTTCTACTGTGGACTTTCACTGGTCTTGGTGGTGAGTTTTGCCGATTTTGGACTTTCTACTAACTGGTACTGGTACTTAGCCAGTGACCGCAGACGGTGGCTGCCTGCACGTCAGCGATTCTTTCCCTTGGCCCAAATGTGGCTCTAGGAGGTGTTGGGGTGACCCTCTCTTCCCACGATGAGACCACACTGGACGACCTTAGTTTCCGGACCCGGTCGATGTCACCCGGGTTGGACGGGATGGTCGAAGGACCAGCTGAGGCAACGACTTCGACCTTGTTGTTTGCAAGGGAAGAAGAATTGCTTCAACGGTATACGGCGATTAAAAGTGTTCGCTTTGTCTCTGGATAATGATTAGATATACCAGAAGTTGTTGCGGCGATTGAGAAAATTCTTGGAGGCGAAAGAATAGTGCGTCAGGTGTGTTTTCATCCTCGGCGAATTGTGGACATTGGTCTTTCTACTGTGGAATATAAAGAGAAACTAGTTGAACATTCGATCCAGGTAGGAAAAGAACATTATATTATAGAAAGTTTAGAGGAGGATCTGTTGACTGTAACGGCGCGTTTGGTTCCTTTCGAAGCCGACGAGTACCTGTTGAGAAAAATAATGAGTGATTATGGTAGAGTTGGAAATGTAATAGCAAATAAGTATAGAGGGACTGACTTAAAAACGGGAACGTATCGTTTCTCGATTATTACGCGGAAAAGAATTCCTAATTTTATAAAAGTATTAGGTAGAAATGTACAATTAATTTATATGGGTATGAAGAAAGAGTGTTTTAGATGCGGTTCATTTGATCATGAAGTGACTGTATGATAAAATTATGCCATCGATGTGGAAATGGCATGCATCTTCTTATAAAAGATTATAACGTGTGTTATAATTGTCGGCATGTTCATGACAAAAATGAGAAATGTCCCTCTCTAACATTCGCAGAAGTTTGTGAAAGAGGGCCGCGAAAGAAAAGCTTAGAAAGAAAACGTGCAAGCAGTTTAGAGAAAAGGAGAGATAGAGGTGATGAAAGAGAAATGGATAGTAGTGTAGACGAGGCTAATCAGGGAGAAAATCAACAGGAAAAAGATAAGCAGATAGACATGGATGTAGTTAAAGAAAAGGAGACAGATAGAGATGATAGAAGGGGAAAGCGAAGGAATAGTATAGAACATGTAGAAGGAGAGGTGTATAAAAAAGCAATGGCAATAGAAAGAATGAGCTATAGTGCAGATGATTCGATAGATAAACTACAAAAAATTATTAGTTTAAAAGATACATCGGATGATTTAACGCCAATGTCGCAGAGAACCGGATCAAATAGAAGACAAAGAAGGGTAGCTACTAGAAAAGATAATGAATAGATTAAATGTAAGAACTATAAATATAACTGGAATGCGTGATAAACAAAAGCAGATCTTTTTGTTGAATTTAGTTATGACACAATCGATACAGCCGAATTTAGTTATGACACAATCGATGGCCATACAGGATACTAATATCAGAGACATGATAGATTTAACAAACCTTAGAAAGTATTTTTGGGTTTTAATATGTATGTATCGTTTGCCAAAAATCGGAGCACAAAAATAGTTATGTTAATACATAAATGGATTAAATTGATGATTTTCGGACTGATGATAACGGCAGAATTTTGGCTGTAGACATACAGATTGGCAACAGGCCCTACAGAATAGTTTCAATTTATGCAGCACCCAGAGTCTCGGAGAGGATAGAGAATTTGAAGGTCTTAACGGATTTTTTAGCGGTGAGTCGTGATCTTATTTTATTAGGTGATTTTAATACTGTTTTGAGTGTTTTAGATAAGAATACTTCCCTTATACCGGACGGATCACGTACTATGCTGAAAATATAATAGACGATTTTAACCTAGTAGATATTTATCGCAAAATATATCCGAGTCATCTGGGTTTTACGTGGTCTGGCAAGGGTACTCTAGAGCGTCTCGATCGGATTTATATATCGGAAAACCTGGAAAAAATAAATAAAATAATAAATTATGAATTGAGACAGAGCGGTATTAGATTGAGTGATCATAGAATGGTAGAATTAGAGATAGATTTAAATAGAGGTATTAATAGGAAACGTAGAATTAAAATTACCGATGATGTCTTTAAGAACAATATAATTAGAATTTTGGAAAGAGATAGCGATAATATTACCTGGCAAGAATGGGAAAATAATAAAAATGATATTAATAAAGAAATTGAGAATAGTTGGTTTAGGATACGGAAAACTAGATTTAATAAAATAAAAAGTCTACAAAGAGATTTAAGTAAATATATTATTATGAATAAGACAAAGGAGATTAATAAAATACGAGAAGAAATTAGTAAAGAGATAGAGATTAAAAATAAGAATAATTATACGAATTATAAATGAATAAATTAAGGATTAAAAGAGTATCAGTGTTTAAGAAAAAACCTAAAATGAAAGAAAAAATAGATATTAAGAAATTAATTATAGAAGATAGAGAAATTATAGACGAAAATGAAATAGTACAGGAATTCACGAAGTTTTATACTGATTTGTTTAAGGATCCTGGGTTAGATGAACAAATGTGATATTATATGTCAAAATGCATTAAACCGATTAAAGAAAAGAATGACAGCATTATAGATAGAGAAATAACGGGACAGGAAATTAGTGATGCGATTCGCAAGCTTCATTCACGTAAGGCCCCTGGCACAGACAATTTATCAGTCGAATTTTACAAGTTTTTTTGAAGAAAATTTTAAAGCGACTCTTTTAGTTGTGGGAAAATGTTTTCAATTTACAAAACAGATGGCTCGGAAAATAAGATAAACGATTTTAGACCGCTCACTCTCCTAAATGTCGATTATAAGATATATAGTTTAATTATTGCGGAAAGACTCGAGGTGTTGGTTAGAGATAAAGTGGCGAGCACTCAGAATGCGGGAATTAAAGGTAAAATTATACAGGATAATACAATGTTTGTAAAATTAATATATGATTTGCATATTGAGAAAAAATCCCCGCTCTCCATCCTCTGTGTGGACGTTAAAAAGACGTTTGATACCGTTAATAAGGAGGTGTTATGGCGCATTTTTGAGAGATACGGTTTTAGTGAAAGAGAGATTAAGAGAATCCAATTGTTATATCATGCGCCGAGAACCTCTATTTGCGTAAACGGTGTAGAACCCACCGATGTAATGTGTACTGCGGGAGTAAGACAAGGGTGCCCGTTATCGATGATATTACAGGTAGGCCTCCTACAACGCGGTACCTTTACAACGCGTTTTCGCTCCAACGCGGTTGGAAAAATGCGGTAATTTTCTTACAACGCGGTACTTTTACAACGCGGTTTATGGTATTTAGAAACGAATTGTCTTTCACATAACAGAAAAATCGCAACGAATCACGTGATACGAACCGCAATTCGGCAATGTCCTTGAAAACAGCTGTTTGTCGCTGTTAGCGTGTTATTTATTCCCTTGAAAGTTTCAGGGGAAGAACGATTTCTAGACAGATATGCATCAGTTACCGTAAACACTCAAATATATCACTAAATTTTCCATCATTCATACTGTTTCAATAAGTGGAGACCGCAGAAATGGTCCAAAATACAGTATAAACTTCTATTGGCTGTATATTTTTAACAACATAGTGAAGAAAAGTTATTTTTTGGGAGTTTTACTGTCCACAAAACTGCTTGAAAAAATTTTAGCCATAACAATGCCGAATGAAAAGAAAGGACCGTCGTTAAAAAGGAAATTTATAACTCTTTAAAGATAGAAATTTTGGATCGAATTAAAAATCAAGAGCGGATAGCTGATATTAGTAGGCATTTTAATTTAAATGAGTCGACTATTCGGTCGATTAAGCAATAGGAAGAAAAGATTAGAAATTTGGTCGCATCCGGATCATCTATTCTTGCGAAAAATGTTGCTAGTCCGAGAGCACCTGTAATGTAAAAAATGGAACAAGCGCTAATATTATGGGTAGAAGATACGAACAAGAAACGGTTGCCTTTAAATAAAACTGCACTTTAACACTTTAAGCTTAAAAAATATTTGATTATTTAAAACAAATGGGACAGTTGTCAGCTGCAGTGGCGTAGCGTGGGTGTCAGCCGCCTAGGGCGGAGGAAATTTCGCTGCCTTCTAATTTAGGTATCTCAATTTAAAAGACTAAAATTCAGTTTCGTCACAGAATAAGTAATGAACAATTAAGTGCTCATTTCAATCGGTCCGAATTGTAGTTGCGACAAAAATATGAAATGAAATAGTTCAAATTTTTACAAGAAATTATTATTATTTATTGTGAAATTTTGCAGCCCCTGCCGCCCCCACTACGCTACGCCACTGGTCAGCTGATGAAACTAGTGTTGAATTCGTGGCTACCAATGGCTGGTGTGAATAATTCAATAAACGCCATTCAAACGCCAAGTTTTTCTCGTTTTAGAACCGAATCCCAGTTTTTGTATTGAGTTGGCGATTTCCCTATAACGCGATTTCCCACAACGCGGTATTTTCAAGGAACGTATCTACCGCGTTGTAGGAGGCCTACCTGTATTTACCGTTTATATTGACCTATTATTACAGAATGTTAATGAGGAAAAATTGATTACACCTCTATACATTCCAGGTACTTGCGATAAAGTAAAATTTGTAATACATGCTGACGATGTCAGTTTCTTTATCGTTGATAATCCTGCTATGAACAAACTAGTAGAAATTATTAGGAATTTTTCGAAGATGACTGGAATGATAGTAAATGAAAAGAAAAGGAAATTATTAAATGTATATGGTAAAATTAAGTGTGATTTAATGTCAGTGGAACAGGTTGACGCTGTAAAGATTCTCGGCGCATGGTTTGGTGTAGACAGTTATAGAAAAAATGTAGAATTAATGTTAACTAAAATCGAAGATGTGTTGACTGAGTGGAAAGATGTTTGGTTATATTTACCCGAAAGGGTTATAATAATAAATAAATAATTTTTGCGAGAATAATCTATTTGCTATATGTTGTGAATTTGCGGACAGAGGATATTAAAATTATTGAGCGTCCGATTTTTGTATATTTTTGGCAGAATACCTTTCAACCACTCAGTCGTAAGATTTTAAAAAATGATTTTGAAAACGGAGGATGGAGAGTGTGGGATGTAAAGAATTTAGAGTGCTCGCTTTAGTTGGCTAACATGATAAATAATTTAAAAAAGAATACTCATCCTTTTACGTATTTGGTACATTATATACTTAGGCTGGTTGCTAAAAAGTTTTATCGGTCGGGAGGAATTATCCCTTCTTGATTAATAATAACAAAAGATATCGAAGATATAGGGAGTAGGTTAATGAGATTGTAAATGAAGACAATGAAATTATATTTTTTGATAGGAAAATTCGTCCTAGTAGGATTTATAAAGTTATTCATAAACAGCATTTTAGTAATGGGATGCGACAAAGTACGCATAATTGGAAAAAAACGTGGAAATATATAGATTCCCTCCCGGTCGAGTGTAAAGAAATTTCGTGGCGTATATTGCAAAATGTCGTAATGACGAAAAGTTATTTAAAATCTCACCATTGGCGATTGGACCCCAGATGCTCTAGATGCGGCTGTGATGAAGATACTGTTCATGTTTTTTACACGTGTCCAGTGGCTGTTCAGGTTTGGTCCTGGATGAGAAAACTATGGAAAACAAATATTACATGGTTGCATGTCAGATATCAAATGAATTATTACATTAGAAATAGGAATTAGTATATGTTAAGCTTATCGGTTATGTTATCGGTTTAGTTAAGAGACAGTTATGGAAAGCGAGATGTATGTTAATGTATGAAAATAAGAAATGGAATGCAACACTGATCGTCATAAAGATAAAAGAAGAAGCGATATTAAAAATTAAAAGTGATCAGGAATGTATGACTGAAAGAGAATTTAATTGTAAATATAATGGTGTACAAAATGTGATATGGAGAAATGAGATGGAATTATTTCTTTTAATAATAATTGAGTTTATTTTGTATTTAATTGGTATTATTTCTAAAAAAAAAGAAAAAAATTCTAGATTGTATTATAAACGTTTTATTTATTGTTGGATATTGTAAATTATGGAATAGTTTTCAAATTTGTGGAGCTTGTGATGGGCTTGTTAATATTTTGTCAATAACTGATTGATGTAATGTTGTAACGAACTTATTATTGTATTATTTATTAATCTTGTTTTGAGTATTATTGTGAAAATTGTTTGTCGGGTTTATTATGTTTAACTGATTGATAGTGGCCTTTCCTTGTGAAAAGGTGTTTTATTGTCGATTTATTGTTTTATGTATTTTATATTTTTGTTTTGACGTTGCTTTATGCTGGAGTCTGGTGCTCTTTTTCTACGATGTATGCGGAAGGCTCCCCATGGTGTGAGTTGGGCCTTCTGCATTTCTGCTGTAATTCATTTATAAAATGACTTTTAGTTGCCCACAAACTCTAAATAAACATTTCTGTTCTAATCAGCTTAATATTTGATTCGCTTCTACCAGAAGCTTCGATATTAAATTGATTTTTGGAAACTGGCGAAAGTTTGGAGCTTGCTCCTCCTTTGTCGCGGGTTGGCTCGGATTTGCACTGTTTCCGAGAATAGCCCACACACAATGGGGTGATAACTCAATAAAGATTAGAATTATGTTTGATATGGCCGAAGCCTGAAAATAGGCTTCGGAGATATATTAATCGTCTCCTTTTTACCATATTCTCTGGCCGATGGACCAGTGAAATAAAGGCGATTTCACACTAGAACGGATTGGACCGATATCCAATTGTATTGTCATGAAACGGTACTATTACTGTTGTCACGCCAACACCAGTCACACAGATTTAAAAAGTTAAATATTTGCGATGGGGTCAGTGAGTTACAGAGAACTTTGGTTTTATGAAAACGTGTAAAAAATAAAATATAATATAAAATACACCGTTCAGAAGAATTAATAAATGAAGTAAGATAATATCCGCAAATTGACGATTAATATTAATCGGGTAGATTACAAAGATATTTTTTAAAAATAAGAAAAACTTAGTTAATGGCTGGCGTTTCAATCCTAACACTCATTCTGATTGGTCAAACAAATCGGTCACTGATATAAGCTGACAAAGCAAATGCTGTTACGGTTAGTCCCTCGGATTATACGCCGATTATGGTGTAAAATCGCCCTAAGATGGTGTAAACGATGGATGAACCATGTTTGATCCCACCGTGTTCTCCGTCTGTTGCTTCCCAAGCTAGGTTGATTATACTAATGCCTGTATACCAGGCCATTTACTGAAAGTAATTCATCCCCCACTCTATGCATAATTCTGCCAAGAAATTTTCTGCCACTCGGCCAGGAGTGAGCTTATATTTTTCCGATTTTCATCCCATGGGTAGGTATTATCTAACATATTGTACTAATATGTTGCTTATGTATATCACGAAAAACATGACCAAGTTTAATTTTTCTATTTTCAGTAATAATCTGCGGATTTTTGTCAACAATAATACCAAAGTACTCTCTCCATTTCCGATACTTTTTACTACATAAAGGGGTGTGATTAACTTCTCATTTTGAATTATACACAATAACAATTCAATATAAATTGTAAATAAAATCATAGACGAGGGACAACTCTGTCGTACCCCCGCCTCACAAAAAACACTACCCATAGAGTTTCCATTTACGTTAAGGTCAATTATCTGTGTGTAGTATATAAACTTAATCATATTAATCTCGTTATCATTTAAAAGAGAAGCTGTAAAGACAATTTTTGAAAGGAAAAATTAAGTCAAGGAAAGAATAGATATTAGGAAGGTAGTTATTGATGATAAAGAAATTGAGAATGAATATGAAATTAGTAAGAAATTTTCGAAGTTTTATATTTACTTGTATCGAGATCCGGGTTTGATGAGAACCTCTGGGGTGAGTTTTTACAATGTATCCGTCCCATAAAAGAGAAAAATAATAGTATTTTAGATAGGAAGATAACGATTGAAAAAATTAGTAAGGCTGTCCAGAAGCTTCGGAAACGTTAAGCGCCTGGAATTTATAATCTTTCGGCCGAGTTTTATAAGTTTTTTAATGAGAAATTAAGTTTTATTCTTTTTAATTTATATAAAATTGATAGCGAAGAATTTCGGTCGAAGTGCACGAGTGGGCAGTTTTTTCGACTTTTGGAATCGGAATATGCAAATTTAGTTTTACGTTCCGGAATTGGTGGTAGCGACTTCGAATTTGCCGCAAGATTAGGCATTCGGCACGTCGAGGACGTTCGTAGAATGTGTAGTTCCGAAACCGCTCTAAATTGGATCATTTATAAATTTGTCGATTCCGGAAGCACGGTTCGCACGAACGAGTGGAAAGGTTAAAACGACATAGACAAACTGGAAAGACTATACATCGAACACAGAACGGTCAACCATTCGGAAATTTTCGTCGATCCAAAAACCGGGGTACACACCCAAAAGATCGAAAGACTGTGGGGTTATTGGAAGAACAAGAAGAATTTGCCAAGACACTACACGGAGGATCTGTCCGACTCGTCCTTGTATTCGTTCATGTACAAAAAGTTCTTGAATTGGCCGCCGAAAAACTCCGGCGAAAAGTTTTACGCATTTGTTAAGCATCTGTGCAACATATATCCCATTTCCGGAAAAACAGCAACGTGGAAAAAACCCGAGAGTCTATCCGCCGTCCCTCCAGTTTCGACAAGCGACAAGAAAGCGAAAAAAACAACAACAAAAAGGGGAAAAATTGTGGAAACAAAACCAATACAACGGATAAAATCGACAAAAAAAAAAAAAAACAAGCAAATGTCGCTTCCAAAAGAAAGTGCAGGAGTAAAAAGCAGTCTACATCCGGAAAAACCAAAAGGTACTTATGGGTTAATACACTCCCGCGAAGTACATTTATCCTACGATAGATGGCGCGCGTTTACATGAGCATTCGAGCACTGTGTTTTCGATCGATTTCAAATTGTGAAGACCATTTCCCCCCTCCAAAAATAGCTCTATATATGCATTTGTGAACTGTTATTTACGATATTTATAGTAATTTTTGTTTAATCACTTTATTTCAACTTTTTTTTTGCTAATTACATATTCGCTCGAACTTTGTTAAAACCTTAACTGTACCCCGAACAACAACCGAAGTCGTAGGAGGAAATTTGCCTATTTTACCGATCTAGGTATCCCCCTTTTCCAAATTTTAATATCGACTCAAAATAATTTAAAAAGACAAATTACAATAAAACGGTTTATTATCCAACTATCAGAAATTTCACAACACGCCAAGGAAGAGAGAAAGCAGCAATTAAATAATTAAAATGTTAAAGGATTTAAAAATATGTTTAAAAATGAGGAATATCGCACTTCTAACAATCTCTGTGAGTATGTGGGCTAAATTTAAAGAATCAGTGCTTCTCACATATACAGTACAGTACAATTGTATGCGGCCAGTTCATGCGTCGGAAAACTTCTGATTTATTCGTGTACGCACCAGACGGAAAAACAAAAAATATCGTGTATCCACAAGCACTCCAACAAATAAAATATTTTCCCAATGAAAACGAATAATAATAATAATAATAATATAATAATAAGTTTCAATAAAAATGATAAAATGTAAATTGAATTTTATCATAACGAATTTGCTTGAAATTCGTTTCTTATGAGATCGCAGCAATGCGCGACGGGTAAGCTAGTATCTTTATAAATCGTAATTTATTGTTTGATTTAACAATTGTATTAAATTTGACAAATAAAAAATTGCATTATTTGGAAAAAATGCTATTTCCGACTGGCGTTCTCTTAACCCATAAGTACCCGTTAATTTTCGTAATTCGATCTGTTTCTTCCCTTTTACGCGGCGGCTCCGCCGCCGTCTTTCGTTTGTTTGCACGCATGCGCGCGTACAAACAAAAGATAGCGACCGGAAGCGTCGACAGAATTAGCGACCGCCGCCATCTTGGCTACCTAGGGTAAATCTAACCAAATCTAAAATATTAAACAAAACTTTCCGCGAACTATCCGACTTTAATGGCCGATTTTAATCTAAAACCGATAAAATATTATTAAAATCTCCTAAAAGTAAAAACATCCCTACTCACCGCTAAAAGATTTCTTAAACAATAAAAATTCTCCTTCCTTTCTGTAACTCAGGTGATGCATTAATTGCAATTATCCTCATAGGCCGACCACAAACCTGAAAAGCAACAGCTACCGTTCTACCATCAACATCAGTTTTAAAATCTTGGACCTTAATCCATTTTTTAACATTATTATAACAGCGGTGCTCCCTTGTCTAGATATTATAATCGACAAATCTTCGTCTCAGGTCTCTTAAATCAAGAAAGTTCCGAATATTCGCATCTTGTATAGCAATTCTATTAATACCATATTCAATAAGAATATCTGTTTTCTCAAATTCCGGAAGCCAGTAATGTAAATTGACCTAATATTTAGAGTGTTTCTATCCATTACTGGATTTTCTATATTCTATTGTTTTCTTCATACTCAATGTCCTACATTTAAATCTCCGACTAGCACGATCTGCTAGCACAACACTGTTCTCATGTATTCCCTCTTCTTATAAAAGTTGCCCCTTAAATCCTGTAATTATTTTTTTGACGTTCCCATTTTCCATCTATTTTTCTCTTTCCTAAATTTTTATCCTTTTCCCTTGTCTCTGTCCTCACCTCCATCTGCTTAACTTCCTCTCCAATCACTTCTATTGCACCTTACTCTCTCCCACTAACTTCCTTATTTCTCTCAACACTTTTTTCACACTTTTTCTCTAAACTTCTAGCTCTTCTCCTTTTCAAACTTCTCTTCCTAGGACTCGTGGATCGCGTAAAGACACGATTCCTGTTTTTTTCCTTTTTCTTTAAACTGATAACGATCGCCAACAGACGGTTGAAAGTAGCCGTTGGCTTTCTGAATGCGCGGTCGCTGGTTGGTTATTGTTTTATACCCGCTTTCGACGGGTATAAAACAATTGATGTTGAAGCGGTAGTTTTTAAATGCAGTTGGGGGTGCTATGTTCCAAGTGTTGACTTCGTAAGTTAGCTTTGGTACGTCTGGATATACAACAGTTTTGTCGAAGTTCGGTTGGAAACTTCAAGTGTGCCTCAGTGGTCGAGGCAACTCTGAATTCGTCTCGCAGTGGCTTCTTCAACAACCTGAAGATTAGTTCTAGTTACAGCCCGTTTATGCGTTGCAAGGTGTTTTCTCGACGGACCTGATTAGCGTATTGGACTATTTGAACTTTATTTGTTGTGTAATTGGCGTGCCGAGTTGGGCGCAAATCTGTGTGAACAAAGAACGTTGTAAATTTGACTGACCTCTACTAATAATTTTGGCTTAAGATAAGATTGGACAGTTTCCTCTAGACTCCTGCTAGAATTCCCACATAAAACAAAGGGACATATTTACCAAGAAATTTTACATAATTGGAGATCTTTTGCCTAGTCAACAAGATTACCCGATAGCTAACCGTTTTAACTTTTCGGTTATGATGATAATTAGTAACAACATTAATTACTTTATAAAATTTAATCATCAAGTCTTCATTTGCTTCATTTGGCACCAATCTCAACGTAACAGGAAATAAATCGGAGACCATACAGTACTTCCAATATCGTATTGTTCATCTTCAATCTGCATAGTCCCAGTCGTTAAACTGATTTCACCACTCCTCTAGGATGAAAACAGATTTGCTGGACAACTTCACTTCCATTTAACTTCTGGACTGCATCGATGAGTATTTCCTTCGCAACTCGTTGTTTTAACTTGATCCTTATACTGCGTTCGCACCGAGCATTTCGATCTAGATTGTGACCAAGGCCTGCGACTATGCCTTGGTGCGACCTCTCTCGACCATTTCAATTTCGACTGAAACGAGATTCAATGGCGATCGACTCAAGAGAGTTCTCGAAACTAGATCCAGTCATGAGAGAAATCCTACGCGCGCGTGAAAATATAAGTTGGCTGCCGAACACGTGTTGGGCTATCGACAGAGAAATAAAACAGACACGTGGAGAGAGGATGACATCTATTATTAGATGTAGGGCAAGAAAAAGTATTTCTAACCAAAACTTTCATTTTGTATGTTGGTGTTCGTGACTTACCGCGTAGTTATGTCAATTTTATCATCGCGTGTAATAGCCGGCTTCTTCTCAGACGGACTGCCTGTGCGAACGGCACGACGTTCGACTGGCGACAGTCACAATCCACATTATAGGTAAATCGAAATCGACGTGAGTCGTGCATTGTGTGCGAACTTAGTACAGGTAACCCCCGTATAACACGGCACTTTTATAGCACGGATTTACTCTGACACGGTTCGAGAAATGGGTAGAACCCTCGTACAACATGAAATGTAATAAATTTTTACATACTTAAGTACTAATAATTCTCGTAGTACTTCAGTGTGTGAATTTTCTTTTCTCGTTTCCATACACATGGTCCTTCGCGAAAATTGTTTCAATTTTGCCAGATCTCGACGCTTCTGCTTCTGGTGTTGCCAGATGTTTTTCTCTTATTCCATACTTTCTTTATTCTTCATAAGTGCTTAGCACCATATAAGGAAATTTATAAAGATCTTTTAACTAGAAGCAAACAATCTAAAATTACATACACTTTTTGCAAAAGGTAAAGCATGAATCTGAAAATAATGCAGAAAAATGCTCAGAGGATAACGATAACTTGCCAAAAATAAAACGCTCTCGGTTAATAGTGTTTTTAGTGATGACAAAGAAAACATTGTTTAATTTATATTAATATGTATCACTTAAGAAAATTTTAATAAAAATATTTATCTTAATTATGTAAATATAGTAGCATGTTTTTTTAATTTTTGGAACCTAATTCTCCTTTTCGTATTAGTTTTTTGTTTCACATAACACGGATTCGCATTACACGGCAATTTTTTGGAACGTAACTACCGTGTTATACGGGGGTTACCTGTACTGTATTAGTATTGAAACGCCAGCAATTAACTAAATTTTTCTTATTTTTAAAAAATATCTTTGTAATCTGCCCGATTAATATTAATCGTCAATATCTCATTCGGCTTCTTTGTTGAGAACCCATTTAAATGCACTAATTCAAACTAAGATCAGTTGTGGAACTGGGATATGTCTTTCTATATCAGCTAAACGAGTTAATCTGTTTGAATCACTCTTGGTCTGGTGTACAACAAGTTACTTGAATTGTGAGACTAATTTTTCTATGAAAAGCCTTATTATGCAACTCAGACTAAACAGATTTCGAATTTTGTTCAAGGGTTACCGTATAAATATATCCTGAGAAGAATGTTGTGAATTCTGTGGTGTAAAAGAAAAAGATCATCTGACTCATTTGTTTGAATCCTGTCAAGTGACATACCAACTAAAATGTTCTGTATTAGGGGAAGAGTTTAGATGTGATTTTTTGAAGAATGAGGTTATGTCAAAAGCAGGGCTGTGGAGTCGGAGTCGGAGTCGTGGAGTTTTGGTGTTTTAGCCGGAGTCGGAGTCGTCAAAAAATCCGACGACTCCGACTCCTTTTTACTTACCAACTTGTTATGTATATAAAACGGAAAAGTATTGGAATCGTGTCAAATTTGACCCTCCAAGTTTTTTTTTTTTTTTTTTGCAAATCTACACGTTTGGAGACCTCCTGAACCCTCAAAAAAGTCAGTAAAGGGGAAAAATTCGCGCGCGTGTGTGTTGGCATTTAATTTGTTTAATTTCTTTATTTTCTGTTCTGAGATATTAAACAATATCTCAGAATGGGTAAAGTTTAAGAAACGAAATGTGGCACTGTAGCTTGCGTATAAAGGGGCATTAATACTATTAAATTTTGGTTCTTAATGAAAGGTCGACAGGGTAAAGACATGAAAGTGGTCATGTGTCTCTTAATGAATATTTTACTCGTTATTAGCGTTCAAAATTAAAAAAAATAAAATAAGATAAAACTCGTCTCTACCCTCAAAGTAAGCTTTTTAGCCATTTTATAATAGTACAGTAAAACCCGTTAAGATGTTATCGCCTAAGATGTTAGAATGTATATGGGGACACGATTTAGTTCAACCACTTTAACGCTTGATAACTAACTCCTGTGTTAAACCATCTAACTCCGATTCTGACCACTCTAATCACAGAAATTATTAGGCTTCAAACAGAATGAACAAAATCATGCCCCCCCACCAGTAGCGTAGCGAAGGGGGGGGCGGCAGGGGCGGCCCGCCCCGGGAGGCCCTTTTTAGGGGACGGAAAAATTACGTTTCAGGGGGCGGAAAAATTTCACAATAAATAATAATAATATCTTGTAAGAATTTGAACCATTTTATTTCATATTTTCGTTTACTTACGATTCAAACCGGTTGAAATGAGCACGGAATAGTGTTACCATCCGACTGGTCGTCGGGGGATATCGTGAGCAACCTGTCGACCTTTTTTTTCTTTATTTTTTGCTTGTACGATTCATTCATAATCACATACACCTCCAAAATCCAATAGAGCTAGGTCACTTGCGTTACTCCTATCGAAGTCTCCCTAGTCGTTAACTGTAACTGATTTAGAACCGGCATGCACTGCACGTTATTCTTAGCATTGCAAAATTACATTGCGCATGCGTCAGGAACTTCTGTTCGAACAAACCTCACCTGCCGTTCGGGACAGCGATTTTAAAAATATGGCAACACTAGCACGGAATTTTTCACTACTTATTCTGTGACGAAACTGAATTTTAGTCTTTTAAATTGAGATACCTAAATAAGGGGGCGGCGAAATTTTCCTCCGCCCCGGGCGGCTGACACCCACGCTAGGCCACTGCCCCCCCCCACAGTCTAATATCCACACATATAGAAAAACCTCGAATTTTTGCATATCTCGAAATTTTACGGTGTCCTGAGTCCAAAAATGTAAAAATTTGGGAGGGGTCATTTTTTGACCGAGCGCTACACTTTTCCTCTGTTATATATAACAGCCGGAAAAGTAAAATTATCGAATACATATTTATATATTACTTAGAGAAGTCTTTTAGCTTTGGAATAAAAAGTTTCTACGCTCTATCTTTATTAGAACTCTATTTATTGAATCTTTTATTCTGAGGTCACGTGATGATATCAGAATTTCCGGGTCTCTTTCGGTAACAAATCCGCCCCTGGTCGGAGTCGGAGTCGGAGTTGGAATCGGTAGATTTTTACGCGACTCCACAGCCCTGGTCAAAAGTTACCTTATTTAAGCTTTTCTCCTATTTATCTAAATCTTTGGAATTTCTTCGTTAATTTTACTATGAATTGAATGTATTTTTATAACATTGTTTAAATTGTCCCCATTGTAAGAAATTTAAATTTAAATCAATAAACAATGAATGAATGAATTGAATTAATTGTCAATTTGTGCATATTATCTTACTTCATTTACCAATACTTCTGAACGGTATATTTTATTTTTAGCACGTATTCATAAAACCAAAGTTCTCTGTAACTCACTGACCCTATCGCATATATTTAACTTTTTAAATCTGTCTGACTGGTGTTGGCGCGATAACAGTAATAGTACGGATTGATGACAATACAATTAGATATCGGTCCAATCCGTTTTAGTGTGAAATCGCCTTTATTTCACTGGTCCATCGACCAGAGAAGATGGTAAAAAGAAGACGATTAATATCTCCGAAGCCTATTTTCAGGCTTCGGCCATATTAAACATATTTCTAATCTTTATTGAGTTATCACCCCATTGGGGTGTGGGCTATTCTCGGAAATACTGCAAAACCGAGCCAACCCGTGACAAAGGAGGAGCGAGCTCCAACCTTTCGCCAGTTTCCAAAAATCAATTTAATATCGATGCTTCTGGTAGAAGCGAATCAGATATTAAGCTGATTAGAACAGAAACTATAAATGATCTTAGCCATAGGCCGAGAAGCGATA